CTGAACCCCCCTCTCAAACCCCACGCACTCAACCGCTCACGCCCACCTGAACACTCAAAAGCGGCGGAATACACTGCGCACGACAATCCCCCAGCACATCGGCAAAGAGCAAAGCATCAGCCGAAACGACAAAGAGTGCAAGTGCAGACAACGCGAACGATTTCATTCTTTTTGGAATTGGGGAATAATGGAATGGGCCCTTTGTGGGTTTTTATTTTGTTGGGAAGGCGACGCTCCTGACGCGATGCTCGACGTAGCGGATGTCCTGCTTACATAACGCTGGAGGATTCGAGTTCCCTCGACCAGTCATTTCAAACAAGTCCTTGGTGTGGGCGTAACATAAACCTATAAATTTCCTTCTTTTATATATTCCGTCATTTTGCTCCCTGACGCTGCGTGTCCACCAAGTATAACTGGACTACCAACAGCGTTCATCAAATTTCATATACCCTTTTCCCTTGCTTATTCTATCCTATCCCGCTCTAATACTCAACATACGATTATGATTGAAAAAGAAGAATGACTGTGAAATGGGTTGTTTTCTTTGATCTTTCCTTTTGGAAATGGTTTTGCTCCTGCTCTTTGAACGTTGTTTGTTGTTTATGAGACTGTTGCATTCCTGAAGGGAATTCCCCCGCAAAGCAGTGGTTTCTAAAAATTCGAAGCGAAGGGCTCCGAATGTCCGGTACAGGGCGTGCACAGCGGCATGCGTCCGCCCTTTGCCCACTCTTTACTGGTGGATGATAATGTATATTCTAAAGTCGTATTCGGAAATCTGAAAGAAATAGGATGGACTAATGAGATCACGACATTATGGAACCTTGCGAGTGAATATGTGTTTGCGCCCGGCTCCCCTCCGTCAAGGTTTCGTGGTGTAGTTGGTTATCACATCAGTCTAACAAGGGGCAGGTCGAACCGCAAGTTCGACTCGTTGATTTGGTACACTGAAGGTCTCCGGTTCGATCCCGGACGAAACCAGTCTTGCTCCAGTGCCCCCTCACTGTTTTGAGGATTTCGTCAGGTGTCTGGGTATTTTTTTTGTGAACTTACTTCTAGCAGTTCTGAGAGTTTGGTGAGCGGTGTGTTTTTTGGTTCCTCTAAATGAATACTGCTTGGTTTGTTTTTGTGTTTTTGTGTTTGGCTGCAAACGCGAGCACAGGGTCATCATGCGCATGGAAGAGGGAGGCTGGGGGTATGATGTCACGCGTAGCAAGGGTCCACGCAACCCAAGCCCAGCATATAAAAGGCTCGCCATCACACTCCATTCCCCCCCTACAAAACCAAAACTTACCCCACAAGAAAACAATCAGAAACCTTTGCCAAAACACCTTTGCAAACTACAAATAATCAATCAAAATCATGTCGGAATATGACAAGGTACGTACGCACTCGTTCTGGACTGTGCAATCAACAGTCATTTATGTGGAAGCCGTATTCACGAGTTTCTCTTTCGTTGAATAAAGATTGTAGCGGACCGTGACGCCAAGTACGGACGCATCGTCGACCACGAATCCCCCAGCATCCTGGACAACCCTTCCCTCCCCGTCCCTGAAACCACACCCACCGACGTGACCTCGATGAGTGACGGCGATATCAGAGGCGGCCGTATCATCGAAGTCTCCGACGTTCCGCTCTACGCGACAGACACCTCCACGGCGCCAAGCAGTGTCGAACCCGCCGCGATCGTGGACGAGCAGGCGGCGCACGGACGTATCATCGACACCACGGCCCCATCCACCACAACCGGCGCAACTTCCTACATCTCCTCCGCCAAATCCACCGCAGCTGCTATCACCTCCCAAGCGCAACCCTACCTCGCCACGGCCCGCTCCACCGCCGCGGGTGTGGCATCCCAAGCCCAACCGTACATCGACTCTGCGCGCTCCACCGCTGCACCTTACATCGACTCGGCACGCTCCACCGCTGCACCCTACATCGATTCGGCACGCTCCACCGCCGCACCGGTGCTGGAATCCGTTCGCTCGACAGCCAGCGGAATCGCGACGGAAGCCCAGCACACCGCCGAACCGATCGTCAACACCGTCCGGTCCACCGCCGTCGCGGCACGGGACGCAGCGGCACCCTACGTCCACGCTGCAGCGGAAACCGCCACACACGCAGCTGCAGTCGCGTCGGAAACGATCAATAAGGTCGTGCACGCCCCGCCGGTCGTGAACGCTCTTGGGTCTGCGAAGCAGGTGGCGGGTCAGGCGTACGGTGCCATCGCGGGTGCCGCGGCACCTATTGTGAATTCGTCGGTGGTGCAGCAGGCGGCTGCGGCGGCGGGACCTGTGGTCAGGGAAGTGAAGATGGCGGCGGATGCGGCGGTGCATACCGTGTCGGATTTGGTGTCGCCGGGACATGCACAGCAGCAGGCACCTGTTGCGGCTCAATCGGACCTTCAGGCCCATTAAGAGGGGTGGGTGTGTAGTAGGATTGGGGTTGGAAGTGTTTAAACGAGAAGGAGACTTGGTTTAGTCTCGATGAGTTCTGTAAATACTTTAATACGAACTTTTCAATTCTTTCATTTTACGACATACTCTGGTAATATCTAAAAGAGCAAAAAACCTTGAGCCCGCAACGAGAAAACCAAGTTTCGACAAACGAAACCAGAATTCCCTCCGAAAACATCGTAACTTGCTACATATGTACATTTTGCATGAATAGGATGATAAAAGAAGACCTGCGACCTGCTAACTCTCAAACGACAAAAGTGATCATACTGTATACACTTTCCTACCGTTGTTATCGTGTACATTTCCTATCGATCTGTATCAATAAGAAATCTAAAAACAGAAAGAAACTCCTTCGTTACACCTCCCTCGCCCATTGCGCCTTAGGCCGCAATTCCCCACACGTTATCGGCCTTCAACCCCCGTGAACTCCCCTGAAC